TTTCTCCACTCTTCTTATGGTCCAACCGCACGAGACCACCAAGAAGATGAAGAAAATGGTTTTTGGCATAAACGTCACACTGGTCTTCTGGTCCATTCCTTTGATACAAGTGGTAATCCTATTTACTATTTCAAAGATCCGGTTACAGGATATTGTTATTGGAATATGGACTACCAATATGAACTTTGTACAAACCCTCTAGAGGCGAAGAAGAAAAAGAAAAAGGCCCGAGATCCTTTTTACCATAGATAACTAGATGGAGATTTTTCCATAAATTCTCTTGGTGAAGACGGTGGAAGGTACCAGTTTATGGTATCCTACGCAGTGCCTAACCCTGCTCCAGTATTATCCCCAATTTCCTCACCACCACCTCCTAACCATAAGTTTAATGAACCACCAAAACCAAAGCCCAAAAAACAAAGCCAAAAGGAAGTACCTTCCATTGATAATGCCGATTAGGAATACATAATACTGTTTTGTGGCAATCTTCAGGATGGGTTTCGAGCTGCCAAAATCCTGCTTTGAGATCGAACATGGAATAAATCATTGCATTCATCAAGCATGAAAATAAGGCTTTTCTATTTGGTAAAAGAAACTTGCCATCTTGCAGAAAATAATAAGAGGCTGAAAATTTATTATCAATCTCTTTTTTCATCTATTTTGGTTAGTTTTTTTGTTGACATAGAATGCTTCACATGCCCACTGAGAGTGAGAGAGCTCAATTAGTCCTTGCTATATCAACTGATGGCATTCTTGATGGGCTAGAGCTGCATCTTCAAGATTCATCCTTGAATGGATTACTTTTGCTGGATTGATATCTTTATTTTTTTTGAAAGGCAATTTGACAAAGAACTTAGAAGCCACAATGGATTAGAGTATTTCTCCAGAAACTCTAAGTGAGTTTCTGCACTGGAACTCAGCAGCTGCTATACAATTGGTTCTACTTGGGCTGCCTATAAGGAATATATCCTTTTGATGTCGACAAACTCCTTGAACTGGTCTTTAGAGAGTAGACCATTCAAAAGTATCCGGAGAGCAGAAAGTTGATCGAGAATATCCCATTCAACTATGAGATCTCTATTTAAATCCGAGGAACCAAGGATTCTAGTAGTAATGGAGCATTCAAAGAAAAACGAAATCTTTACGGGCTTGCTGTTCCAGATATAGACTAGAAGTGTCTGATAAGTGGTTCCTAAAATTCGTTGGGAAGAATTTGGAGAGTAACAAATTGTTCTTGTTGAGAAGCAAGGATATGATGCTAATCAAACTGTACGTGTAGACTGAAGATATTCATTCACCTCTTTTGGAATGTGACAGATTAAGGGTCTAATGAAACGGATAGGAGAAAAAGAGGACGGCTGTTTAGCAAAAGCAACGTAAGAATTTAGAAGAGAGAGGGTAGCAGGTAAGATCTTCTCAACTTCATTGAGGTAAGTTACCTCATAAAGCTTGTCGATCTTGGATGCTTCATACTTACGAAATGGACTAGATAGAATTAAGAAAACTAAAACATCTACTAGTGGTGTATGAATTTCTACTTGGGGTTAACGCTTCCCCTTCAAACTTTGTCGGTATTACAAATCTTATAAAGATATTATAACCCGTAATCCTTGGCTCTGATATAATGAGAGATGCTATGTTCAGAACAAGAACTTAGTAAGATTATCGGTGTATTTATATCCCTTCAAATTTTTATGATTTAATTAGAAAAAGCCAAAAAGTACCAGTACGAAAAGTAGAATTCATTCAAAGATGGATATACATACGCGTGCATATACACGTACATGTAATGAAAAACCACCGACTAGAAACCTAAAACCACCTCGGGCACAATCTACGGTACCAGGAAACCACATGCTACCTACAGAGAAAGATATTCATACTCTCTCTCTCTGTCTCTCTCTTGCAAGTCTGGCTGAGTCTGAACCAATGGAATCATCGGCAACGAGACGACACGTGGCGAGCATATCTATAATCAACCTTTAATATTCACTGTTGCAGCACACGTGTCCGCATGCTGCTGACATGCATGCATGTGCATGCCATTACCCCCAAGATCCTCATGTTTATCCATTGTAATCTTTTTTTTTTGTTGCAAGAATTTAGCATTTTAGTGGACCTCCATAACTTTGACCTTCCCTTCCATTACCATATATTACATTCTCCAACACCGGTCTCTCTCTCTCAAAGAACACTAGGATAAATCATTGCAAACATTTGGCACTCTCTTTGCGATCCCATGTTTCCACCGCGTCATGACGTAAAAGCCGAATCAAAATCATCAAGAGAGAGCTCATTGAATGAGCTCAAAATTTAAGCTGTTGACATATCTAATTAAACTTAGTTTCAGTTAAAAGGTTAAAAATTTAGATATATATATACACACATACTCCATTTAATAATCGCATCACTCTTTGTATTCACCAAAACCATACAATGAGAAAGAATTCACGCAAAGTTTACGTGCTTTGTTTCTAAAACGATAATCAGTATTTAATTCCTCATCTAATTTGCTAGCATTGCTTTGATTATCGTCACATCAAATGCCGCTATGATCTAAACTCCCTTTCTTTCTGATTGACAGGAGTCGAATGAGGAATTAGAAACATCATGCTAAAAAGTTATGTGATGTCCCAACATTCATTCACCCTATCCTTTATCATTCTTCATTTATTGCATGAAGGTAGATATGGAATGGCTATGTTTCTTTACTTATAGCCGTGCTACGACAAAAAAAAGGATGCAGATTGGTGAATGGACACAGGTTAATCTCCTAATCACACGATTGTAATTGTATCATACCTTCCAATCACGAAAGTCACTTAATTGTTAAACATGTTGGGCGTTATTATAACACGGTTCCAAGTATAACAAGTTCATGTCTCGTAGTTGTGAACACGAGCATATAAGCCGCACGGATTATGAAAATCTAGGTTAATAAGAAAACTTAGTAACCTCTCAACGTGTAACAAGACACGAAAGAACCCAACTAGAGTAAAAATACAATACCGAAAAGAAAACCTACAACAACCGGTAAGTCTCGTCGAGGAATCGCCGATCCAAAGCATCGGCTCAAAGTCTACAGTGACACAGAGAGGGAGACATACGAGAATGCAAAACCCGATTCATCGAGAGTTATCTATCGGTCAAAACCTTGTCTATCTTCTAACGTAGAAGTAAACTAGCTCTATTCGAAAGCGTTGAACTTGTGACATTGGATCGGCAATACGACTCGCGCATGTCGTCTCAGACTTCAAAGATCATGAAGAAGATGCAGAAGAGGAAGAGATGACACGAGGCAACACGTAGGGACCAAAGGTAATGATATTAAAAGAGGTTTGGTCCCTCTCCATTGGGGTCGCCGTGTCCCCTTTGGCTCCCTCTTGCTTCCCCATGTACATACACATCCACTCCATCATCATCATCATCATCTCTCTCTCTCTCTCTCTTGAATTTGCTTGCTTTCATCGTTCAAAGTAGAATGGGGAGAGAGAGAGAGAGAGAGAGAGAGAGAGAGAGAGAGAGAGAGAGAGAGAGAGAGAGAGAGAGAGAGAGAGAGACCGCCCAATCATCCCATGAAAAGCTTCCACTTGCAATGCCTGCCTACCTTTCGATTCAATGCTACATAGAATACTATAATTCGCTTTATTGCGCCAAGAAACGTAGATGTACTTCCAAACTTCGTTATTCTCCGTATGCGGCTCCCCCGTTTTTCCAGCAAAAAACTTTCACCCACAAAAGAAGCTTACGTGGCTGCTCAAATGGGATTCCCTTCTAATTCTTTTTGTTATGTTTGATTGTATTGGTAAAAGGGGATGTGCATGAAATGAGATAGTCAATAGATAGGAAATGCCTATATATATACGTATATATTATTAAATTGTTTAGGTACATGCTAATACATCCTTATTTGGTATGTCTGGCCATTTCAAAATTGAGATTCGTTGACCAATGTTCTGAAATAATTCGAATGAAACTGAGATGAATAATGCTAGATTAAAACATTTTCAAATCACTCATTTCCCACATGATTAGGGATTGATAAATATATATTGTTTGGTCAATTCCATTCGATGTTGAAGTGATTGCTAAAGTACCTAACTATTAATATCGCATCTTCACTGGCCACTTTGAATTTTAAAGCATGATTGATATATGTTTTGATTGGATATAAAGAAACGGGATAAATATCCAAATTATAGGATTCCATCAATACGACATAACCTTGCAAGTTATATTGACTGTGTCACTATGCAATATTAGCTCGATCTTTGCACCACGAAACACCTCTTTCTTATTAAGCATATGCTTATCTCTCTTGTCTTCATATAAGAGGGTCCAGGCTTATTCAAAATGGTCCCGTCGAAATCATAAGCATACAAAATGTTTAATTTGAATTCAAGGCAATTCAACGTAATTTTCCAAAAGCCTATGATAATTCGACGTGGATACTCATACACATAAATTAAACACAAGGAGGCCAAAAACGGGTTTCTCTTGAAAAACATCTTCTTCTTTTGTGTGAATAGCTTGGAAGATGTTCTAGGTTAGCCGAGTAAGACGATGCAATTCCTCGTTGATCAAAGACCCGATAATATTAGATGTATATCGGCATAATACGAAAAAGGTAACCATGTATGCACCGTATTAGTTTTTCCTCCTACTGGTTGTCGTTTCCATCATGTTTGTTCCTGATCAAGTTGTACTAGGCCATGGCCGTGCATTTTTCTGTCTGTCCGATTACGAAATATAATTCGTTTTCTTCACTAGCTAAGCTCAAATCGGTATAACATGAATATTTTGATGTTTGTTCTACTGGAGTGGAGATTTTTACCAGGTACAGCGCTAAGTATTTGACAAATAAAGCATCTCTCCACCATTTTTATTTTGGCCCTGCGCGTCAACGAAAGAAAGAAAGAGAAAGGAAAAGAAGGAACCTCGGTGCTCGTGCAAGGCCTGAGTTGCCTGTTCATATTCATCTCCCTCTCTCTCTCTCTCTTCTCCACCACCTCTATATCTGTGTCCATTTCTCACCCTCTCTCCTTTCACTCTGCGCTTCCCCGGTTTTACCCTCTCTCTCTTTCTGTCTCTCTCTCTCTCTGTCTGTGTCTGAGACACGAACTTACTGCTTTGACATTTCCAAAGACCTGAGCGCGAAGCCTGAAGCTCGTTCTTTCACGCTCACCGACGACGGGCATGAACCCCAACGCCAACAACGACCACTTGATGGACTCTTCCTCTCCTCCTCCTCCTCCTCCTCCCCATCACAACTGGCTCGGCTTCTCTCTCTCCAACCACCACCACGCCCCTAACCACCTCTCCCTCTTCGAAGCTTTCAACCCCGCTCCAGGTCTATCTCTCTCTCTGAAAAACCTAAAGAAAGAAGACCCTTTTCTCATTTCTTTGTGTTTCTTGATTATTGAAGCAGGCGGCGTGGTCGATAGGGACGAGGATGCGCGACCTCACGGCCACGGCCCGACCGACCTCTCGATATTCTCCGGCGGCGGGCCCAAGCTCGAGGACTTCCTCGGCGGCTCCGCCACGGCCGGCGGCGCGCAGCCGTTGCTCGCCCACTTCGCCGCAGCCCCCGAGGCCCATCACCCGCCGGTTGCCGCCGCCGAGGCGTACGACTCCGAGCTCAAGACCATCGCTGCGAGCTTCTTGCGCGGCTACACAGCCGAACAAGCCGACGTCATCGTTCAGAAGCAACAGCAGCCACAACAACAGCAACAGCCTCTCGCTTCTTCTGAGGAGGCTGGGGCCAAGAAGACGGTGGATACTTTCGGACAGCGTACCTCGATCTACCGAGGTGTTACTAGGTAAACTTTTTGCATCTCTTTTCGATCTTCAGTAATCATTCAAAACAAGAAGTCATGGGTTTTGCAAAGGAAAAATACTGAGAGAACTGTTCTTTGGGTGCAAAAAAAGGCATAGGTGGACGGGGAGGTATGAAGCTCACTTGTGGGACAACAGTTGCAGAAGAGAAGGGCAAAGCAGGAAGGGAAGACAAGGTAACATCCCTTTTTTTACCTTGTTATTTTTCTAATTTTCAGCAGAATGTTGTTTCTGGGCTTCTCTGACTTTACATTTTGCAGAACAACGAAATCTGAACAGGGTTTGAGTTTGAGTTTGTTCATATCATAATATCGAGGAATGAAAGAAAAAGAAGGTTTGATCAGTAAAAAAGGGGGAAGAGGGGGGGGGGGGGGGGTTGGAAGATTGTGCGGACTTGGTTAATGCCAATAATGGGAAAAAACGTTGGCTAGGAACTGAAAAAGAACATGAAAGTTTCAATGCTTGCAGGTGCTAAATCTCTGATTCGAAAGACCCCTGGATCTTGTGGGTTTCTTCCGATAGATTTTGTATCAGCTTGTTTTTTGCATAAAGTTGGCATTTATTATGAGCTTGAAGATCCTGATGCGTCCTTTCCATTCTCTGTGGCATGTACCAAATACCCGCGACCGGATTCTTCTTTCATCATTTCGTCTGGCCAGTTTATTTGGGTGAGTCCTCTCTCTATCTCTCGTGGTCTTTTCCCTTATTATTGCAACTTTGCTTTCCCATCGGCCTCGCTGTAATGCACGGCCTTCTCTTTCACGAACGAAGCTCACGAAATCTTCAAACTCCAGTTTGACTGCGTACTGGGTTTTACTATTGTACAGAACGAATGATTCTCTTCATCTGCATGAGTAGTTTCAAAAAGATTCTCGGCTTTGATAGCATGAGTTGTTTTATTTTTTGTTTTTGCTCCTGTGTGTTGATTTTGCTTTTTGTCTTATCGTAGGTGGATATGATAAGGAAGACAGAGCGGCTAGGGCATACGATCTCGCAGCTCTCAAGTACTGGGGTCCTACTACCACCACTAACTTTCCGGTGAGCATATGCTAGCAAATTAGTACTTTTTCCATACTGTGGTTTCACATTGTATTTTAGCTTGTGATTCTTTTGTTTCTTGTCAATCTATTCAAAGGAAATTGTTCCTTTTGCTAGATCTCTAACTATGAGAAGGAATTGGAGGAAATGAAGCACATGACCAGGCAGGAGTTTGTCGCGTCCCTAAGAAGGTAAAAAAGAATATTTCACGGGAAACACTTACATTAGATTTAATTAAATTAGATGGTGGGCAAGGTACTTTTCTTTTTTCAAAAGTTTAATGTTTGAATTGATTTATGTATTTGACTAAGCGTTTGGACCACCTTATGTTCCTTCAGGAAAAGTAGTGGATTTTCTAGGGGTGCCTCGATCTACCGAGGAGTCACCAGGTTGGTTTATCATTTGCAACAATTTGAGTACACATTTCATAAATGTTGACTCATTTTGATAATACATATACTTAGGTGCTCGATCCCTATAATCTTTCTTTATAGTGAGAAGAATATAAACCGTGGATAATCTGAGCGAATGTGACATAATGTGTTTCTTTCAGGCACCATCAACACGGACGATGGCAGGCACGGATAGGGAGAGTCGCTGGGAACAAAGATCTCTACCTTGGCACTTTCAGTGAGTTCGACTGTTTTTAGTTACTTATCTCTTGATTATAATGTTGCTTACTCAGTAATAAAAGATAATTTATGCGGCTGCTTTTGTTGAACAACAGGCACGCAAGAGGAAGCGGCTGAGGCCTACGACATTGCGGCGATAAAGTTCCGTGGCCTTAATGCGGTGACCAACTTTGACATGAGCCGCTATGACGTGAAGAGCATCATGAGCAGCAACCTTCCGATTGGCGGGATGTCCGGCAAGTCCAAGAACTCCTCTGAGTCGACGTCCGACAGCAGGAGCATCGAGGGCAGCCGGTCTGACGATCGGGACCTCTCGTCTGCATCCTCCCTGACCTTCGCCTCCTCACAGCCTCCTCCAATGTCGACTCTGAGCTTTGCAATACCCGTCAAGGCTGATCCCTCGGACTGCTGGCCCAACAGCCTTGGGTACCACCAGAACCCTAACAACCCTCTAAACGGTGCGAAACTGATCTCCACCGGCGGAGGCCCGTCTCCTTTGCTGGCTTTCTACCAGTCGTTTGAGAGCAACCAGACCGCCTTCGGCGCAGATTTCTCGGGGAGCCAAAGCAGCAACCACATTGGCTACTTCAATGGTGGTGGGTATGGTGGTAACATTCATCAGCATCATCAAGAGCAAGAGAGTAATCATGAGAATGGCAGTTCAGGCTCAAACTCAATCCCTTTTGCCACTCCCATTACCTTGTATAGCAGTGGCAATCATGAGAATGGCAATGGCTACAACAGCTGGATGGCCTCAACAGGCCTTCACTCATTCCAAACTGCAAAGCAAAACCTGGCCGTGTTTCAGACACCGATTTTTGGGATGGAATGACATCACGGAGGGAAATTAAAGACAAGGAGGGATTTGAATGAGAATCTGTGCGAGGCTTTGAAAGGGAAAGGCACAAGAAAAGGGAAAGTTGGTGGGTCAAACTTCTCTCTTTTTATCTTCTTTTCTTTCTTGTTACATGAATATATAAATACATGGGGGGACTATGAAGAAGGTTGGGGACTGACCGATCAATTTCAGAGTAGGGGCAGATGCTGACATAGTACTAACTTGAAGCCTGTTCGTTTCTTTGGGGAAATGTTGTTTAATGTTGTTTTATTTTTGGTTCTTTTTCAGCCTCCTAATCGTAACTGGATGATTAACATGGGTATAATGAAAGAGAAGTTCCTTTTGTCATTTCTTTTTATGTTTATGTTTGTGCGTATCATGTTGTCCAATCATTAGCTTCTTGTATATATCTATCTATATGGTGTGTGTGCTACTTCAAGCAAGGACTTGATGTCTTGTTCGGAGGACTTCATAATTACATCAATATTTGCGATGAGGACCGTATCCAGCAATGGGATCCCAATCCAAAGAAAATTTTACTACACTTAGATTTTGTTTCTTTCGTAAAAAATAAATAATTAAAAAAATATTTATTAATAATTATTTGTATCGCTCGAAATGATTAGTCAATAAAAAAGTATATTTATTATTGATAATAATTTATATTTAAATATTTTCGAATATTTTCATGAACGATTAAAATATTTTTTATTCATTTATTTTTATAAGTGATATAAATAATTATTTTTAAAAAAATAATTTTCAAATCATTTATTTTTCGTGAAATAAACGAAGCTTTAGTACTCTCCGAATATGAGTAGCACATATCTACTAGTGTGTATATATATATATATATATATATATATCATGGAACATCATCCGCTTGTGGGATATTTGCACATAATAGTGGTGCTCTTGAGACATGGTAAATAAAAATGGATAATGCTCGAACGAGATTGAACCAAATGCGCGAGTTTTACCCACTAGCTTTTGATGATAAGTTTAGCAAAATCTCTAATTCTTATGCATATATTATTTATGTATATATCAATTCGTTTTTGCAATCTAACAAATCTCTAATTCTACTTTAACTAATTTCTAGTCTAAGTATATTTCATCATGTGAACACAAATTCTATTTGGTATTTCAGCAAATCAGTTTTCCATATCACTGCAGCATATCTACATTAATTATTTCAATTAAGCATTATGACGAATTTATGAAATAGTTTAACAAAGTAGGGATACCCATCACAACAAAAAGTTAATATAAGGTAAAAAATATATTTTTGTAGGGTTCATTCCATGACTATATATTAAAAAATAAGTTATGACTAAGTGTATCATACATGATGAGTTTTATGATTAAAAATTTGTATTGATACTCATTATGACAAAATATTTTGTTGTATTTCACAAGTAAGTTTCATCTACGATCGCTAAAAAGAATTATATAACGTGATAGCCCATATTTAACAGACCAATAATGTAAAATATAAATTTATTTGTGCTAAATAAGATGCTTACTTAGAGTTGAACAATGGAAATATTATGACATGATATTCCATGTTTGACTAATAAATAATATTAGATAATTAAAAAAATTATCAATTATTATAAAAACAAAATTATATTACATGATCTACCAATAAATGAATGGGAAAAAACTACCAAAAACCCCAAACTTTGCCATCTGTGACACATTTACCCCAAACTTTTTTTTGTGACACCAAAAACCCCAAACTTTGCTATTTGTGACACATTTACCCCAATATACTGTAGCCTAGGGTATTTTAGTCTTTTTCCCTTTTTCTATTTTTTCTTTTTTTTTTTTTTTTCCAGGCAAGGTGCCCTCGCCGGCGAGGTCTCCGGCGACCTTGCCGGCGCAGGCGGGTCGCCCTCGCCCGCCCGGAGCGAGGGCCGTCTCGCCGGCGTTGGCGAGCGGCCCCGCCTCACGGCGCCGGGCGAAGGACCCTCGCCTCGCCCGGGCGAGGCGGCCTCGCCTCGCCGGAGTTGGGCGAGGGACCTTCGCCCCGCCCGGGCGAGGTGAAGGCCGCCCTCGCCCAGGCGGGGCGAGGGCTGCCGCCGGCGTCGGGCGAGGCTTCCCTCGCCCGGCCCGGCGAGGCGGCCCTCGCCGAGATCCGGCGAGGGCGACCCTCGCTCGGCGCCGCGAGGCGACCCTCGCTCGACGCCGCCGAGCGGCGGCCCGCCGGCGCGTCGAGCGAGGGTCGCCTCGCCGGACCCTGCGAGGGCCGCCTCGCCTGGCCGGGCGAGGAAGCCCTCGCCGACGCCGGCGGGCGAGCCCTCGCCCCGCCTGTGCGAGGGCGGCCTTCACCTCGCCCGGGCGGGCGAGGGTCCCTCGCTCGACGCCGGCGAGGCGAGGGCTGCCCTTGCCTGGGCTGGGCGAGGGTCCTTCGCCCGACGCCGGTGAGGCGAGAGCTGCCCTCGCCTGCGCCGGCGAGTTCGCCGGCGAGGGCAGCCTTGCCGGAAAAAAGAAAAAAAACAGAAAAAAATAGAAAAAGGGAAAAAGACTAAAATACCCTAGGCTACATTATATTGGGGTAAATGTGTCACAAATAGCAAAGTTTGGGGTTTTTGGTGTCACAAAAAAAAGTTTGGGGTAAATGTGTCACAGAGGGCAAAGTTTGGGGTTTTTGGTGGTTTTTTCCCTAAATGAATATTAAAAAATGAAGACAAACACAAATAGCTTATCAATAGAAATGGGTTATTAATTAGTACAAAACGTCTATATAACAAAAGATAATAAACTGCTAGAGATTTTTTTTTTTTGCTAAAGCTGCTAGAGAGTTATATTACATGATTGTGCATACTTCATAAATAAATGTGACTAAGTGGATGATATTTGATAGATCTTATGATTAAGACTGTAGAATTCCAATTACTTTGTAGTTGATGATGACAAACCTTTATGCATGATATAATTCATACAGTTTTATAGTTGATGAGAATAAAGTAAGTCGAATAACCAACGGAAAAACATATGATGAACATTTTGCCTTTTTTCATAAATAAATGTTAGTAAAAACAAATTGATAAATATCACATGACATGAAAGCTCATATTTAAAAAGGGGGAAGAACAGCAGAAGTGCCAAAAGTTATGTACGGAGCTCACTTTGGTGTCAAAAGTTTCATTTGGATCATTTAAGTGCCAAAAGTTTACGCCGGCGATCACTTAAGTGCCAAATCGAAGAAAAAACGATCACTTAAGTGCCAACGGCAAGAAATTTCTACCAAATTTAATACGTGACTTTTATATTTAAATTTTAATGACACGTGGCATTTCCATGTGTATAATTCAATTTTTTAAATATTTTTTTCTAATTTTTTTTTCTTTTCTTTTGTCTTTTTTCTTTTCTTTTCTTTTTTCTTTTCTTTCTTCTTCTTCTTCTTCTTCTACCATGGCTGGTGGCCGGAGGCTAGCCACCGGCCATGGCCGGCCTCGCCGGGCGTCGCCTTCCTCCTGGCGAGGCCTGGCAAGGCAGTCGTGGCCTCGGCGATGGTCGGCCTCGCCGGGGCTCGCCCTGCCTAGGCGAGGTCGACCCTCGCCTGGGGAGGGCGAGCCCCGGCGAGCGCTCGCCTCGCCAGATCCGACGAGGCCGGCCCTTGCCGAGGCCACGGCGGCCTCGCCGGCCCTCGCCCGGAGGAAGGCGATGCCCGGTGGCTGGACGCCAGCCATCAGAAATAAGAAGAAAGAAAAGAAAAAAAAAGAAAAGACAGGAAAAAAGAAAGAAAAGGAAAAAAAAAGAAAAGAAATGCCACATCAGCCCCCGGCGAGCCACATTAGCTTGAGAAATTAATAAAAAAATGCCACGTCGGATTTCCGGTGAAGTGACACTTAAGTGATCGTTTTTCTCAACTTTTGGCACTTAAGTGATCCGATTGAAACTTTTGGCACCAAAGTGAGCTCCGTACACAACTTTTGGCACTTCTGCTGTTCTTCCCCCTATTTAAAAACGAATAACATAAATAAGATGACATACATATTTTATGTGTGAGATTTTGTGAGACCAATGCCATCTATTAAGCTTTTAGATGAATGTGTGGTTTAATATTTAATTATTCTAATATTCTCCTTCACGCTTAGTCTGGTCTTTTTGCCTAATACTAAGCATTGGCATATTTAATAGGGGAGGCAAATGAGGTCTGGAAAGATTTGAATTCAAGGCCTCCAGCTCTGATACCATGTGAGATTTTGTGGGATTACTGTCAACTGTTCTAAAAGCTTAACCTTTTAGATAAAGATGTGGTTTAATATTTAATTATTCTAACATTACGTACAAATAAAGATTTGCAAATTAACAAATAAGATCCAAGTCATGGATAACACCTAAGATCCATCTTGTCATTGATTAACCCCACCATATCAATACAAGAAAACTCTAACATAATCTCCACCTTCGACAGTTTGCAAGCTTCTTTTCCAACGGGAGTCCCCTCCTCCTAAAGAGAAGCAATTGTCATGGAGGAGCGAGAGAACTGGGAAAAATCTATGGTAGGAAGAACAGGTAGAAATTCATTACTAAATGATTAGTCTCAATAATTTGACACACGAAGCATATAGAAATTCCGTGCAATAATCTAATTCACTGGTTATTTGCTGTTGTTAACATAAATTTTGTATGAAGGCGTTATTAGAGAGACCAACAGCACCCAACTTTAAAGTTACACATACCTTATTCATAGTATCTATCTACTATATAAGATCCCATATCATCAATAAAGAGCTCATGATGGTTTGAGCAGGAAAATTGCCCAATTGGTCCTAAATCTATTGTACGGATACCAATTCAGTTCCAAAATTTATGATTTTGCCAATTTAATCGTAATTCTTTGTGCGAAATTCTAATGTAGCCATTTCAGCCAATTTTCCTTGGAAATCGCTAATGTGGCAGTCTAGTCAATATCAGACATCCTACGTGGCACATCGTCACGTCAACAGTTTTTTGGTTAAAATTGATCGGAAAGACTATTGGAGTTTTGCGCAAAGATTTAGGATAATATTGATAAAATTGAAAAATTTAAGATGGAATTGATATTTATAAAATAGGTTTATGATCGATGGAGTATCATTTCCTGATTTGAGATATAGTGATTTAAGAACTTATCCATATCTAAATAAAAGTAAAGCTAAAGATATGACAATCAATGCATAAAATTTATTGACAAAATGATGTGATAAAGCTTTTGTATTTGTTTAGCACTGTCAAATCCCTTTATAAAATATCACCCTCCATCCAAGGAACACAAAGGAGACACTGCCTATGTTTGACCAGCCTAAATGATGACAAATCCAGTGACCAAAAAGTGAGATGAACAGGCTGCCCTT